AAACACAGACACAGAACACAAACACAGACATAGACACAGACATAGACACAGACACTGATTATAACTGAAACGTTTTTATCATCTATGTTAATCTAACCATTACATGGAGACACACTTGTCTTACATGGAGACACACTTGTCTTACATGGAGACACACTTGTCTTACATGGAGAAACACTTGTCTTACATGGAGACACACTTGTCTTACATGGAGACACATTTGTGTTACGTGGAGACACACTTGTCTTACATGGAGACACACTTGTCTTACATGGAGACACACTTGTCTTACATGGAGACACACTTGTCTAAAATGGAGACACACTTGTCTAAAATGGAGACACACTTGTCTTACATGTAGACACTTGTCTAACCATGAATTTTGGCCATTCACATTTACTTTCTTTAAACTGAAAGCTTGAAGATCATGTCTGTCCTATAAGTCTGGTATATAAGTCTGTCGTATAATCAGAACAATGGTGCTGTCTTAAGTGAATGGTGCTGTCATAAATGAATTGCAGATGTCATAAGTGAATGGTTCTGTCATAAGTGAATGGGTCTGTCTTAAGTGAATGGTGATGTCGTAGTCAGGTGAATAAAGCTGCCAAAGCTGAACTGGGTGCTTTATTCAGTGAAAAGTCCAGATGACTCTGGTTGTCAGATGAAATAACCCAGCCCCCCCCCCCCACACACACAGCCCCCCAACTCAAACACACGGCTGATGGAAAGTTAATTGTTACATTTTTCAGTAAATATTTCGTATGAATAAAGCTGCCAAAGCTGAACTGGGTGCTTTATTCAGTGAAAAGTCCAGATGACTCTGGTTGTCAGATGAAATAACCCAGCCCCCCCCCCCACACACACAGCCCCCCAACTCAAACACACGGCTGATGGAAAGTTAATTGTTACATTTTTCAGTAAATATTTCGTGTAAGTGTACAAACATTTGGGTTTACCAGTCAGACTTACCTGCTTCATTCTCACCAAATAGCATTACCCACTTCTCTCTCAACACCTCGCCATACCCACTTTATAGATACACCCACTTTTACCTATACCCACTTCAACGCTATACCCACTTCATAGCTATACCCACTTCATAGCTATACCCACTTTATAGCTATAACCACTATATAGCTATACCCACTTTATAGCTATACCCACTTTATAGCTATACCAACTTTATAGCTATACCCACTTCATACCTAAACCCACTTTATAGCTATACCCACTTTATAGCTATACCCACTTTATAACTATACCCACTTTATAGCTATACCCACTATATAGCTTTACCCACTTTATAACTACACCACTTTATAGTTATACCCACTTTATAGCTAGATCCACTTTATAGCTACACCCACTTTTACCTATACCACGTCATAGCTTTACCCACTTCATAGCTCTACCCACTCCTCTCACTCACCCCCTAGCTTCACGTTCCCCACGCGTGCTCAGATGTCGCTATGTTCAACTACTACAGTACGTATGCAACGTGCACCCAGCTGAACTGATCTGATTGGTCAGGTCAACAAATATATGAGATGAACGTCAGCGCCCTTCCGTTACAGACATAAATCTAGAAATGTCATAAATGATTTATTTTTAAACCCTCACATTGTCACGTAGTTAGTGTCCACAAGAACTGACGCCATTGTTATGCTAGATTTATGACACTTTGCCATTGTTATGCTAGATTTATGACACTTTGCCTTGATTATCCTTTCGAAGATGTTTCGTTAGAGACTGGTGTCAAGTGTCAAACGTTTAAATTAACAACAAAAAGACACGAAACATGAAATAGTCTACAGGGACGAAAGGAAAAGAAAAATAAGTAACTGGAAATATTTATCAAAATGTATTTCTGTAACGCCAACAGGTCAAAAATATTTAAATGTACGAAATGGATATTGCTGTGAGAGAATGTCGAAAGTAAAAATGTTCATTGCATCGATAATGCATGGGGATGTGGAGAGAAATTGTGATTGAATTTCAAACGGACAGAAACTGTTTGAGACTGAAAGGCTGTCAAGACAAAGCACGTCTCGCCATTTTACTAAACTGTTTTTGTTTTTTTTTGGTTTAGAACCAACTGACCAACTGACCCACTGACCAACTGACCCACTGACAACTGACCAACTGACCCACTGACCAACTGACCCACTGACAACTGACCATCTGACCCACTGACCCACTGACCCACTGACAACTGACCAACTGACCCACTGACCAACTGACCCACTGACCAACTGACCCACTGACCAACTGACCCACTGACCAACTGTTATTGAACTAATGTTGGTCATTTAGCGATTATTGAACATGATTTCCTCGCCAATGCAAAGTGACAATAAAGTCAATTTTATTCAAGTTGATGCATCTGTTGGCTGGCCGCCTTACGGTCTCCTGTTGGCAAACGTCTCGATCTCCCAGGCGGCCGACGTCAGGCAGACGACTACATCTCTCGGGACATTTGCATCTATCATTTTTGAGGGGCCCTCGCCTAATCTGAAATATGTGTTATTAAAATATAAATGCTACGGCCGCTGCTAACACACACACATTGTTGATAATGCCAGAGCAATGAATACAGAAATGCAACAAAACGTTGTTGGATAACGTGGTTAGAAAAGATGGTTAGATATAATGGTTAGAGAAGATAGTTAGATAATAATGGTTAGAGAAGATAGTTAGATATAATGGTTAGAGAAGATAGTTAGATATAATGGTTAGAAAAGATGGTTAGATATAATGGTTAGAGAAGATAGTTAGATATGATGGTTAGAAAAGTTAGTTAGATATAATGGTTAGAAAAGATGGTTAGATATAATGGTTAGAAAAGATGGTTAGATATAATGGTTAGAAAAGATGGTTAGATATAATGGTTAGAGAAGATAGTTAGATATAAGGGTTAGAGAAGATAGTTAGATATAATGGTTAGAAAAGATAGATATAATGGTTAGAGAAAATAGTAAGATATATGTTTAGAAAAGATAGTTAGATATAATGGTTAGAAAAGATGGTTAGATATAATGGTTAGAAAAGATGGTTAGATATAATGGTTAGAAAAGATGGTTAGATATAATGGTTAGAGAAGATAGTTAGAAATAATGGTTAGAGAAGATAGTTAGATACAATGGTTAGAGAAGATAGTTAGATATAATGGTTAGAAAAGATGGTTAGATATAATGGTTAGAAAAGATGGTTAGATATAATGGTTAGAGAAGATAGTTAGATATAAGGGTTAGAGAAGATAGTTAGATATAATGGTTAGAAAAGATAGTTAGATATAATGGTTAGAAAAGATGTTTAGATATAATGGTTAGAAAAAAAGATAGTTAGATATAATGGTTAGAAAAGATAGTTAGATATAATGGTTAGAAAAGATAGTTAGATATAATGGTTAGAAAAGATGGTTAGATATAATGGTTAGAAAAAAAGATAGTTAGATATAATGGTTAGAAAAGATGGTTAGATATAATGGTTAGAAAAAAAGATAGTTAGATATAATGGTTAGAAAAGATGGTTAGATATAATGGTTAGAAAAGATGGTTAGACATAATGGTTAGAAAAGATGGTTAGATATAATGGTTAGAAAAGATGGTTAAATATATTGGTTAGAAAATATGGTTAGATATAATGGTTAGAAAAGATAGTTAGATATAATGGTTAGAAAAGATGGTTAGATATAATGGTTAGAGAAGATGGTTAGATATAATGGTTAGAAAAGATGGTTAGATATAATGGTTAGAAAAGACGGTTAGAAAAAATTCAGGGAGGTCATTTTGGATAGGGCAGGGTGGGGAATTTGCAGGTTTTATTTAATTTGCTATGCACTGTGATGTCTCCAGGAATAAACAGCTTAACAAGCCGACCAAGTTTTGGTTTTGCCCCCCCCCCCCACCCTGAAAAAACCCTGAAATGACGCCCCTGAAACATGGTTAGAAACGCTGGTGAAACAACACAGTTCGATGGGTGGTTATATCAGCACTGTGATGTCTCCAGGAATAAACAGCTTAACAAGCCGACCAAGTTTTGGTTTTGCCCCCCCCCCCCATCCTGAAAAAACCCTGAAATGACGCCCCTGAAACATGGTTAGAAACGCTGGTGAAACAACACAGTTCGATGGGTGGTTATATCAGATGGTCAGCTTGTGTGGGTGTACACGATGGTTCGATCTATTGATCAGACAAGACGGTGACATTAGAAGGCTATCTAATGATAGTTTGATAAGAGATCTTTGGTTTCATGTTTTCTATAGCGAACAGCTTTGGGTTGAACCCCCAGCTGAAGAATCATCAATGTTTCTGCATCAGCCAGTGTTTTTTTAGACCAGCCGGACGTACGACTTCAACAGTCCAAGAAATGGCCCGCCAATCAAGGGCGGTGGTAACGCGCGTGAACTTCTCGTCTGCTATGGTTACTTGAAAGAACATGCGTTCGCGTAACACACTTAAACAGAATCCGAATAGGTTCGCATGACATATACTTTAATACAAGCTTATTTATTTTTAGTAGATTTAAATTGATTCGATTTCCTTAAGATAAATAGACCACACGTTACATCAGAGTTTTGTTCTAGATTCCAGTTGGAAATATGATTTTTATCTTGTCACAATTTTTTTTTTCCAGTTACCGGAATTTTATTTAGCGTGTTCTGTGATCAGAGAATTACACCCATACAATCATAGTTTAGAGCGTTGTTTCCCAACGTGGGGCCTATGCCCCACAGGTGGCAAATTGAGCGTTGAGGGTGGCAATTGGAAAATAAGCTGTCTTGGATTTGAATACCAACCGTCTACTATGATTCAACTTGTACTTTGAAAAAAATACCAGCATTGATGTCTCTATTTACTGCTCATACTTCAACTGTCAATCGTACCCTTGAGGCTGGTTATGAAATATCCTTACTCATCGCTAAATCTGGGGAAAAATCATACCATAGGAGAGAATTTAATCAAACCATCATTATCAGCATTTCTTTAAACGGTTCTGGAAAAGATGACAAACACGTGAAAGCTATGGCACTCAGTAAAAATAATGTTAGCAGAAGAATAGACGAAATGACTGAAGATATTGAGATACAACTTGTTGAAAAGCTTAAAACAAGAAAATTTTCAGTGCAAATGGATGAATCAACTTTGGGAGACGGTGAGACTGTATTGATAACTTACGTAAGATAAAATGACAAAAGGGTATTTTGCTGAAGAAATGTTGTTCTGTAAAACAATAGAATGCACCACTACCAACAAAGATATATATATAATAAGCTTAAAAAAATTTACTTAGATGTCAATAATATACCAATGAAAAATATAACATCTTTTTGCTGCAGATAGTGCTTCTACTATGATTGGCAAGAAAAATGGCTGCTTAAAATTGATGAAAGGTGAGAATCCAGAAATGCTATTTGTGCATTGTGTTATACATAGGGAAAACTTGGTAGCTAAAAACATTTCTAAATGAAGTACTAAATTCAGTTATAAAGTGAATCAGTGCTATGTAAGCTAATGCCAAACTTGAACGTCTCTTCAAACTATTTTGTGAAGACCAAACGCAGACTCTGTGAGACTTTTCCCTCACACTGAAGTAAGATGGCTTTCGAACGGGAACTGCTTGAAAAGATTGATGGAACTATTTGATGCTCTTGCGATTTTTTTAGATGAAAAGCCTGAAATGGAGCATCTGTTCACGGTCGATGGTCAAGCATTTGTGAGTTGTTTAGCCGATCGCTTTGAAAAACTAAATATATTAAATGACCAACTTCAAGGAACAAATAAAATTCTCGTCGATGCAAAAGTGAAGATATTTGGTTTGATGACCTTAATTGAATTATGTCAGAAAAATATTTACAACAAAAAGTTTGAAAATTTTCATTGGCTCATAAAATTTGAAGTGACTGATACGGCTATAATTTTTATTGTCGATCATCTGAAAATTATATCGGCCGATTTAAAAGAGAGATTTTCTGATTTGAAATAAACTTCTTTTTCCAACTTGGACGATGCATCCAATGTTAGTGGATTTGTCTGATATTTCAAATATACATTTTAGGAAGAAATCGCAGAAATACAAAACGATGGGTCAGTTAATATTGTGTACAATATAAAAGGAGCGATGGTTTGGCTTTGTGGGGAAACAGAAATCAAGTCACCAAATTCAACCAAATGTGCAAGAAAACCGTTTCTCTCTTCATATTCAGCTGAATGTGAATTTAGTGTCAAGTGATTTATTTACAAAAAACATAAAAAAAGGATTTGTTGCAGAATAAAAAAAAAATAAAAAAAATCAGCGGGCTATAAGACAACGGGGGAGACTTGAGACTTGAGACCGACGCTAACTAATTTGGAACCTAACATAAAATCTCTTAGCAGCAAACACAAACACCTCACTAAATTTAAATAATAAATAAGGATTAATAATTAAAATCATGTAGAAAAATCTTACATTAAAATTATATCGTACTTGAATCTCAGTTTTCCATGAATTGTTTTGAAAACTTACTTACTACGTTTCCTCGCCAATGTTCTAGTGATTTCTTCCTTAAACCTCTCATTTAAGTTTCTTCAGCGAACAATCCTATTTTGGAATATTGAAAATTATGTATATGATACATGGGGGTGGGGGGCTTAGAGTTTTAGAAAGGCTTAGATGGGGAAGGGCACAAAATAGGTTGGGAAACACTGATTTAGAGCATTGCATCCATACATTTACAGATCAGGGCATTACGTTCATACATTTACAGATCACAGCATGACATCCATACATTTACAGATCAGAGCATTACATTCATATACATTTAAAGATCAGAGCATTACATCCATACATTTACAGATCACAGCATTACATCCATACATTTACAGATCAGAGCATTACATCCATATATTTACAGATCATAGCATTACATCCATTCATTAACAGATCACATCATTACATCCATACATTTGTAGATCAGAGCATTCCATCAAAACATTTACGGATCACAGCATTGCATCCATACATTTACAGATCAGAGCATTACATCCATACATTTAAAGATCACAGCATTACATCCATACATTTACAGATCACATCATTACATCCGTACATTTGTAGATTAGAGCATTACATCCATACATTTACAGCTCACATCATGACATCCATACATTTGCAGATTAGAGCATTACATCCATACATTTACAGATCACAGCATTACAACCATACATTTACAGATCACAGCATTACAACCATACATTTACAGATCACAGCATTACATCCATACATTTACAGATCACAGCATAACATCCATACATTTACAGATCACAGCATAACATCCATACATTTACAGATCACAGCATGACATCCATACATTTACAGATCACAGCATGACATCCATACATTTACATATCACAGCATGACATCCATACATTTACAGATCACAGCATTACATCCATACATTTACAGATCACAGCATTACATCCATACATTTACAGATCACAGCATGACATCCATACATTTACAGATCACAGCATTACATCCATACATTTACAGATCACAGCATAACATCCATACATTTACAGATCACAGCATTACATCCATACATTTACAGATCACAGCATTACATCCATACATTTGCAGATTAGAGCATTACATCCATACATTTACAGATCACAGCATTACATCCATACATTTACAGATCACAGCATTACATCCATACATTTACAGATCAGAGCATTACATCCATACATTTACATATCACAGCATTACATCCATACATTTACAGATCAGAGCATTACATCCATACATTTACAGATCAGAGCATTACATCCATACATTTACAGATCACAGCATTACATCCATACATTTACACATCACATCATTACATCCATACATTTGTAGATTAGAGCATTACATCCATACATTTACAGATCACATCATGACATCCATACATTTGTAGATTAGAGCATTACATCCATACATTTACAGATCACAGCATGACATCGATACATTTGTAGATTAGAGCATTACATCCATATATTTACAGATCACAGCATTACATCCATACATTTACAGATCAGAGCATTACATCCATACATTTACAGATCACAGCATAACATCCATACATTTACAGATCACAGCATGACATCCATACATTTACAGATCAGAGCATTACATCCATACATTTACAGATCAGAGCATTACATCCATACATTTACAGATCACATCATTACATCCATACATTTGTAGATTAGAGCATTACATCCATACATTTACAGATCACATCATGACATCCATACATTTGTAGATTAGAGCATTGCATTCATACATTTACAGATTACAGCATGACATCCATACATTTGTAGATTAGAGCATTACATCCATACATTTACAGATCACATCATTACATCCATACATTTACAGATCACAGCATTACATCCATACATTTACAGATCACAGCATTACATCCATACATTTACAGATCACATCATTACATCCATACATTGATATCTAGACAAATTATTGGTTGTGCTGTTCGTACACAGGCGTGCACTAAAACGTTTCCCGAACTTTATCTTCATTTTTATTTTAATTTATATTTTATTTTCGTTCTGTGAGTAGCTAAACAAAATGGAAGGTTTAATGTTGTGATGACGTCAGCTGTGACAACCTCTTTAAATCAAGCAAGCCGTTGAATTAAGGAACGGAATTTTAGTTGACCAAGACAATTCTACGCCTTTCTAAACTTTGAATATCTGTGGCTTATCATGGGGCTAGAGGATTTCATCAGGTCACAGAGTCGGAGAAAATATACGCTCTTGCCATGGATACGGTTTTGAAGGGTCCTAATAAAATCTTGCGCCCCCCCCCCCCCCCC